AATTCCATATATATCTCTAAACAATATTTAAATGATCTTGGAACACAGACTGAGAAAACTCGAGACCATGAATATACAATGCTTTCGTTATACATGTAGTATTTGTGAATCACAATGTGCATATTAATGAGCAGTGACTTGTTTCAAAGGTCGATCTTAAATTTTCACCAGACTTTTTCACCCTAATTTATCTTCACTTTTTTTTATATTCTTCAATATTTCTAGAAACTAATCCTAACTTTGGAGTTTTTACTCCAAAAAAATAATTGGTTAGTGCAGACTATAAACAAGACTATTTTGTGAATTTGTGGTGAAAAGGTTAAGTTAACAATTTCCAATATCTACAGATATTTTCGGCTTCTAACGCTCTTGGGAGTTCTTTCTCAGCTCTTGATTGAATACTGCCCTCAACATAATTTGTTGAAATATGGAGAGATAGACTGCGCCCTCTAGTGACTAACAACTGCGGCACTGCAAGTAGTTCAGCACTGGTAATGTTTAGTATTATATGAGTTGTTGAAGTTTCAAGGACGCTTTTGGCTCATTTCCAATCAAATCCTTGCAACTTCTTCAAGTGATTTGTGACCCAAGATGAGATTTTGCTGTGATTTTGCCAACATATTAAGAATTTACGAGTTTCAGAAAGGTGAGTATTTCGTCAGATTAACACCAAATTTACACAGCTTTAAGAGGAACAAAAATGTCTTCAGAGCAACTAGTGTAAAACAGGTTGAAAAAGCGACAGGCAATTTTAGCGAATTGTGGTAAAATGACGTAATAGCGAAATGTTGATTTAGCGAATCTCTTTTGTCATTTTCTGTTTTCACAATACTTGTCTGACGAGTGCCAAAACAAATGGGCAGTTATCACCTCTATAAAAACAAAACAAATATGTCAAGTGTAATTAGGAAGCACCCCAGATTTTTATGTTACTGTATACAAATCCCCAAGCCTTGGCCATTTTGAATTTATAATAAAGTTATTAGCGAATCAGTTCTCTTGCTAAATTCGCTAAAAAGACATGCTTGCGAAAAAGACATGTTTTACAGTATGTCATAGTAGGTTTTGGAATTCAGCATGCTTTTTTTATACAGATTTTTTTTTTTACAGAAAAAGTAATATTTTTGTTTTGAGTTTGCCATTCATCGTACAGACATAAAAAAAGTTGTTGAAGTTTACTTACTACAGTACATCCAACTGCAAAGGGACCATTATTGTGACTTGCATTGAAATACCACTCAGATAAAGTTAAAATAAACGTACACGTTTATTGTAGAATCAAAACTACCTACTATAATAATGTAATGAAGATATTTAAAGCAGGGTAATTGTCATCTGCGCATGCGTCAGATGGCCATAGCGTGTCATTGTTTACAAACAAGCATTTACCCATGAGCCTTTGCATTTTTAGCGTGCGTTATCGTCGCTTGGGACTCAATTCCCGCCCATGCGCAGGTGATGACCCTCCCACTTTAAGATGACCAGAAAGCTTTGCTTAAGTTTGTGTTGCAACAAACTTGCGATGAAGATTATCTTCACTAGCCTCAAATTAGTCTGTTAATCAGCTTACGTGTGGCGTGTCATTGTCCGAATAAGTTGAAATGTGTTTGCACACTCATGTTTG